CCTTCTCTCCTGTTTCCTTGCAGGGACCCTCCACGAACCCACCATCAAGGCTAAGCCAGGCCCTGTGGTTGCCTTAGGAAGCCCCATGAACATCTCCTGTCAGGGGACCCTGGATGCAGAAATGTGTTTTCTGCATAAAGAGGGAAGCCAACAAACCTGGGGTACACAGACCCCAAAGGAGCCTGGGAACAAGTCCACGTTCTCCATTCCTTCTGTGTCAGAGGACAGTGGGGGGCAATATCGCTGTTACTGTTACAGCTCAGCTGGCTGGTCAGAGCCCAGTGACACCCTGGAACTAGTGGTGACAGGTGAGGGGACACACACAGTCTCAGCTTCAGGCACTGCTCTCAGGAGTATTCCCTCCCAAAGTCTAGCCCTGAGAACATTGTGACTGAGAGCCCATGTAACAGACTGCTTATTCTGTCCTAGGAATCTATGACACTAAACCACACCTGGCAGAATTGCCCAGCCCTGTGGTGACCTCAGGAGGGAACATGACTCTCCAGTGTGTCTCACAGGAGAGCTATCACAAGTTCATTCTCACCAAGGAAGATCAGAAGTTCTCCAGCTCCCTGAACTCACAGTATATAAACAGTACTATGCAGTACCAAGCCTTATTCTCTATAGATCATGTAACAGCAGACCACAGAGGGACATTCCGATGCTATGGTTACTACAAGCAAACCCCACAGCTGTGGTCAGCACCCAGTGAGCCCCTGGAAATACACATCTCAGGTGAGTCAGCCCCATCACTGACCAATCTTTTTTGACACCCTAAGCCCTTTGCCATGACCCTGTCCCACTGGGTAGTTGCAGATAAAGAGTGAAAAAGAAAGATCCTGATTGCTGAGCCAGAGCCCCACTCCTGGGAAGAAGCAGTGACATGCACAGGGCATGATGGGAAGGAATAGGTGTTTGGTAAAAACCAGCTCTTCAATCACTCTCCTGTCACCTTCCCTCCAGGTCTGTCCAAGAAGCCCTCTCTGCTGAGTCACCAAGGCCATTTCCTGGACCCTGGAGAGAGCCTCACCCTGCAGTGCTGCTCTGACATCAACTATGACAGATTTGCTCTGTACAAGGTGGGGGAAGACATCTTCACCAAGCGGTATGGCCAGAGGACCCAGGTTGGCCTCACGTTGGCCAACTTCTCCCTGGGCTATGTGAGCAGCTCTACAGGAGGCCAATACAGATGCTATGGTGCACACAACCTCTCCTCTGAGTGGTCAGCCTCCAGTGATCCCCTGGACATCATGATCACAGGTAAGGTAATAAATAGATTCAATACCTAACCTCTGCATAAGCTGCATGGGTGACCTAAGAGCTGAAGGCTGGGATGAGGGGAGGGATCTTATTCAGGAACAGATTGAGAGACAGGGAGCAGGAGAGAGAGAGTAAGGCAGAGATAAGACAGAGTCACAAGTGCTCAGAGCTGACCCATGTGAAGTTTCAGCTCAGAGCATTGAAGGCAGCCTCTCATTATGTCTGCTCTCTTTAGGACAGTCTTTAGCCATGCCTTCCCTCTCAGTGAAGCCAAACTCCACAGTGCAGTCTGGAGACAACGTGACCCTGCTGTGTCAGTCAACATACACAACAGACACTTTCATTCTGTCCAAGGAGGGAACAGCACACCAACCCCAGAGAATGAAATCAAAGTTCCGAGATGGGGAGTTCCAGGCAGAATTCTCCATGAGTGCTGTGACCTCTGCCCTCTCAGGCACCTACAGGTGCTACAGGTCTCAAGACTCATCTCCCTACCTGTTGTCACATGCCAGTGCCCCTGTGGAGCTCTCTGTCTCAGGTGAGGTGACCCTGAACTCTCAGGGTGACTTGCAATCCAAACCCTAGGGGAGCCCTTGGCTTATGCGGGATTAAAGGGCCAACAAGAAGGGTGAGTCAGAAGGCTCTTTCCCTGACAGAGAAGTGGATGACAGCAGGGTCCCTTAAGTAATGTCCACTCCATCCTCTATTGCAATCTAGGTTTGGGACAGACAGCGTGAGGGTCTTGGGGAGGTTACAGGGCAGATGTAGGACAGACAACAGAGGCAGGTCTCTGAGTTAGCATCTAACCCTCACCTGCTTTTGTTGTTTCCAAGGACACATTGGATCCTCCAGCCCACCAAACTCAAGTCCCTTGCCCACAGCGGGTAGGTATCAGGCACCTCAAGTGAAGGAAGAAGGGTCCATCCCCTGGCTACCCCACCTGAGCCCACCAAAGTCCACATTTCTCTGTCACTTAGCTTGTGACTGTGGGAGGCAAACACAACAGAGACCCAAGAAGCCCAGGACTTAGAGTTTTGGTTACAGAAGATGGTGTAAAGAGGGAGATCTTTTTACTCAGTCTGGAGAAATGAGATGAAGAGCAGGGATCCCAGGCACTCATCTCCCCATCAGCCTCTAAGGTCCTGAGAAATCACCTCTTACCTGCATTGAGTCAGGCCCCAGAAGGCTCTGTAACCATCCTGTTGGATGTGGTACCCAGATGGGCAATAGCTAGTTATGGGCTGGATACAGCTGCTTCTGGAGATGCTGACTTGGACAAGTCCTTCCCATTCTGAGCTGGCTGCTGGTTCTCTGAGTATAAAGTGAGAGGCTTGGCCCACGTGTGTAAATTTCTTTCAGTTCTGGCCTTGAATGACGCCTCTACTAACAGAGGAGGCCTGCAGAACCTGAGTCTGCAGTAGGTCTGCCCCACCATGGTGGTGACATGGGCAAGGCTGGGACACAGGACCATGGCAGGGCATTCCTGCTCCTTCCTTCCAGCTCATGAGACTCAGCTCAGGTGGAGAGAAAAGAGATGGAAGTCAGAGTCCTTGGGTTCAACTCCCAGCTCTGCCACTTCCAGGCAGGTGATCTGAGGCAGGTGAGCTGTGGGGATAGCGGAAGAGACGATTGCTTGTTGCATGATTGTGAGGATGGGAGATGATGAGGGCAATGGTCCACCATGGCTCTGTCACACAGTAGGTGCTCAGATAAGCATCAACAGTCCCTACTCATGATGTCACTTGTTCCTCAGGCCTGGAAATGTACCTGAAGGCTCTGATTGGAGTCTCTGTGGCCTTCCTCCTGTTACTCTCCATTCTCATCTTTCTCCTTCTCCAAAGAAGGCGTCAGGGAAAGTTCAGGAAGGATGGTGAGTGCATTGTGGGTGACCTAGGTCTCAGGTGGTGATGGGTTCCTCAAACTGGGACTGGGAAGTCTAGAAACACTGGCAGATCTCAGATCAGAGAGCACGTGATCTCAGAACCTGTGCGATGTCAGGGGTTCTGTGAGCTTTCCATGTCCTGGGACATTTGCTCACTCACCCCTGTTGTGAAAGTCCCTTCCTTCCTTCCCTGTACATGCCTGGGGGAGCCCTCCCCCAATACCAGAGACTCCTCTCTCTTGCAGCCCAGAAAGAGACAGAATTGCAGCTTCCTGCAGGAGCTGCAGAGCCAGTAACCAGAGACAGAGGCCGCCAGAAGAGGTAACTCATGGCTACAGACATAGACCCCCACCTTCCTGACACAACTCACTGCCAACTGACACCTCCTTGTCTTTCCAGATCCAACCCAGCTGCTGCCACCCAGGAAGAAAACCTTTGTGAGATACAGAGGGTCCTGGGGGTGGAGTCTGAGTTCTCAGTTTTGCAGGGGTGGTGAAGAGGTTCTGAGGTCTTTGCTGTTTGGGTCTGGTCTTCACACTATGAACACAGGGATATCACCACACTCCCTACTTCTCTGTCCACACTTGGACTTGGCAGGAAACTAGAGATCTGAGACATCCCTAGACTCTGGTCATTCTGTTTTTTCTGCTATGACAGATGCCTCAGTGGAGGACATGAAACCTGAGGATGGTGTCAATCTGGACAGTTTGGTGAGGTCCCTGTCCCTGTTTGCAGTGCTAAGAACTTAGGTCCTAGTTTAGTCCAGGCTGCCTTCTTTTTCCTCCCTCGCTTGGCCCTCAACATCATCCATAGCTGACGACTCCCTTCTGCAACTATCTGGCTCCTGTGTGCTATGGCCTCACTCTGACCTGGGTTTCCTGGTATCATTTGGCATCTGTCTGGTTGTCGTCTGAGGGGGCAGCCTTGATGGAGAAGCCCACAGAAACAGCTAAGGGAACAGCAACTGCAGGCAGGAACAGAGGACCTTGGGCAGACACATGTGTTTAGTGTTGTAGTTTATTGTGGGGGAGGGGGGAGTTTTTTGCCTTCACTTAGTCTCTGCACCACCTGCCTGCATGATGCTCCCAGAGGCCAGAAGAGAGCATCAGATACCCTGGAACTAGAGTTACAGATGAATGTAGGTCGCCATGTGGGTTCTGGGAACCAAACCTGGGTCCTCTGCAATAGCAGTTAGTGCTCTTAACCACAGAGACATCTCTTCAGACCCCAGAAATGTGTTTTCAGGAAGATGGGATCTGTGAGTACAGCAAGAAATGTTTAGAGTCTCAGGATAAAAGTCCAGAACTGTAGGAAGCCCTGGAAGACTCCATCAGGGATGCTGTCATCTAAACAGGTCTCTCTGGCCATGCTGTGGAAAACTAGCCAGAGGAAAGTCACAGGGGAACAGGGTGACATTATCTGACCTCACTACTTACCTGCTACAGAGACCACCAGAGGAAGAGCCCCAGGGAGAGATCCATGACCAGGTGAAAGACACCAGGCTCAGGAGGGCAGAAGCTGTCCTAGCTTCTGTCAGGTCAAGAGAAGTCCCAGAAACAAAAGAAGAACAAGCAGAAGAGGGCAGAGAGACAGACACTCAGGTTGGTCCTGTACTTCCCAGGCCTTCAGCATCCTGTAAGTCAAGCATGTACCTTCCTCTCACTCTCTCCCCCTCCAGGCTGCTGAATCTGAGGATCCCCAAGATGTGGTCTATGCCCAGCTGTGGAGCAGGTCACTCAGACAGGGGACAGCTGCACCTCCTCCCTCCCAGGCTGCAGAAGCCCCAGAGGAGCCCACTGTATATGCTGCTCTGGCCGTCACTCGACCAAGTCGGAGGAGCAGTGACCCTCTGCCTGCCAGGAGGCCTGTGGAGACCTCCGATGGATTCTGTGACCTTTTGGGAACCTGGCTGCATTGTAACTAACATCATACATTTTGGAAATAAAGCAGATTTCTCTATAGTCAAGTGAAATGAGAAATGATACAGAAGGGAAGGCTTCACACTGAGTACTAATTTATGACATTACTCATCAGAGCCATGAAATGAGAAAAATTTTATTCCTGGTTGCACAGATCCATGATCCCAACCCATGGGAGGCAGAGGCAGGAGAATTGCCTTTGTTTTGTGACCATCTTGGGATATCTAGTGAATTTCATGTCAGCCTGGGATATGGAGTGAGACTTGTTCTGAACAACATTAACCACTAAAGGCCAGGCTGTAGGTTCACATCTGAAGTCCTAGGACCTTGGAGCATGGACAGGTGGATCAAGAAGTCAAGGTCATGTTCACCCTCATAGCATAGCAGTAATGGCCAGCCTGGAACACATGCGACACTGTTTTAAATTAATAAATAGGCCAGGCTTGGTGCCTTCAATCTCAGCACTTAGGAGGTAGAGACAGGCAGATCTCCGAGGCCAGCTGAGATAATAGTGAGTTCCAGGACATCCAGGGCTACATAGAGAAACCTTGTCTGGAAGAATAAAGAAATAATATAGGGACAGTGTGATGGCTTAGACAGTTAGGGTACTTGTCACCAAGCCTGATATCCTAAGTTCTATCAGCAGGAATAGGAGAAGAA